TTACAACACTTGTCTAAGCATTTATGAGAATACGTAACAATTCCTTTAAAATCACATAGTTTCAAGCTATTGGAAGCTTCAGTGATCTGGGTCATCAACGTTTCCTTATCAAGAAACTTGTTACGTTTCACTTTGCTTTTGACCACTGACCAGAATTGTTCAATTGGATTGAGCTCAGGTGAATATGGTGGTAAGTAAGCGCAGTGGTAGCCGCAAGATATTACATATTTGGCTATGTCTTCTGATGTATGGATAGGAGCATTATCCATCACAATATAGTGACCTTTCATGTGCGGATACTGGTCCATTTCATCCATTGTGGTTTTCAGAAAACTGACATAGTGTCCCGTAACCGTTCCTTTGCTTGTATGCGCAATGCCATCTCCCCTCTTTCTCTTTTTATTGGATGGAGGCTGAGGAAGTCTAAGGCTGCATTTGATTAGACCCTCAGCAGAAATGGCACCTAAAATGGTTGTTGTTGTTGCTCGTGTTTTGGGAACTGTGACCACTGCCGGTGTACCTTTCCTTGACCATGCCATACTACGTTTCAAATTAATATGGAAAGCAGATTCGTCAAGAAAGACACAGTTTCTTGTAAAATCCATGTCTGTTTTTTCCCATTTACGAATCCAATTCAAGCGCTCTTGAATCTTTTCTTCGCTGTTCCGCTCTATGGGTTATAGTCGAGCTTTTTTGAGAGACAAATTGCAATGTTCTTTTACAAAATCAAACAATGTTGTTTTAGATACTTTTAATTCTGTGAATATCTGCTTTAACTTCTTCATTACTTCGTCTAAGACGACTGAAGGATTCCCATCAATGCACTCGAGAATAACGCTTTGTGATCCTCATAGAGAATACATGGACGACCAGTCTTTTTTCATTTTTCAAAGACACTGTCAGGATCCTTCTTGTACTGTTTAGCCCAGTTTTGTGCTGTACGAACATGAATCCCGAGTTGTTTTACAGCAGCAGCCGCACTCATACATCTCTCAAGCAGTAGCTTGAAGAACCTCACTTTATCCTGATCCGAATAGCGTGTATAATTTCGCTTCACGGATGTTTCCCTCATAATAACATCACTACAAGGCTTTCTCTCCTCCGTCTGCATTGTCTCTACTTCTTTCTCGCTCTCTAGAGGCAATTGAGCTAAGTATTGTGTATGAGAGCTCCACGTTTCAAGACGAAACTGTTCCTCATCAACTATATAATCCATTGGTTCAGGTCTGCCATACTCGTCCACGATGGAACCTTTCCCATTTTCAAACAAGAATTGAATGTTCATTATTTATGATCTCTGATGTAATTGTGAAAAAGAAATAAAACAAGGACAAGCACTTGGCACGCTCTTATATACCCAACAAATGCCAAGGCTTTTTTGTCTTACAAATCATTTTTAGCCAAGGCGAATTTATATGTTGTACAATACGAATTTTATTATCGCCATCAGGCAAATTAATTTTCCACCAGGGCGAATTTATTTTCCGTGCAACCTGAATTTTGTTCTCGCCACAAGGCGAATTTACTTTCTGGAAAGAGTGTATACTGTATCTAATATGTACTAGGTTTTTGGACTACTGTTAAAAATACTGGAAAACTAATCGAATATCTTATGATAATAAGATTTCTAATGAAATTAAGAAATCTATTAATCATTATGATAATAAAGTATAAAAAAATAAATCCTATTTTTTTTATTTTATTCGATTTGTCGTTTAATTCCTAAAGTGGTAGGGGGTGTGTCTGATAAAAAATCTTTGATTTCTTTGAAGAGGTCTTGACTTTAATTTATTAATCCTAAACAACCATTAGGTTGTTATTTAGACTTAAATGAGAATCTGAAAGATTCCATTAAGTCTCCCTGCTCCCTGTCACCATCGCACTGTCTCTGCTTATCCTTAGAAACTTTTAGAGTTCTTATGATGCCATAAGCATAGTAACTAGTAGGCAAGTCTTTTGAATGGGCTAGCAACTATTCAATTTCATAGCAATACCAGTGCTACTGATGCAGATGAGATAATCAATTATCTCCCTACTTAGGCTCCAGGGGACTACTTTAGATATGAGTATCAGGATGAGAATGAGGAAGTTTAATTTATTGATCTTCTAAACCAATATGAATCTGATTCTTCTTCTTCATCTAAGTCAGAGTCTAATAATGATAGGTATATATATACAACTTTGTATTCTAGTTATAGCACGGCTCTGCTGTGATATGGCATTTATCACATGCCGAGTAAGTAGGATAACTGTTTTATTGTACACATTTCACTATGAATACCCAAGAATCTTACAGTCTGTCTACTTTCGCAGTAAACAAACAACCTGATTTTGTAGATGCATGGCAACCCAATTTAAGTGACTCATAAACAGATGAAGAAATGTAGGGCAACATTTCAAATGCCCAGGCCTTTGCAATGGCTAATACAGCCCGGGTCAAATTCAAACTCAAACTCTAGTATCGAGCGTGATAACTAGAACAGAACTAGAATTAATGCCACCAAAATAGTGAGTGCATTGGTGAAGTTGTCTCTAGTGTTGTTGCTGCAATGACAAACCAAAGTGTGAATACCAGCATTAACTTAGATTAAAAGTTGCAGCAAGTCCTGCTTGTTCCCAAAAAGGAAAACCTCAAAGTGATAATTGATTTATAGTCACTCATTCTACTTAGGAAAACTCCTCTTAGGGGACAAGCCGGTATCAAAAGGATCTCTAGAAAATTAAAGATATTTATATTAAAGTAATATTTTTGAATTTTGTGTTAATAATTTTTTTACGTTAAAGTTTTTGTTATAATTAAAATATATAATATTCATATTTAAAAAGAATTAAAAACTTATACTTTATAATATAAATTGTTAACTATTTTTTTTATTTTAAATTTTAACTTTTATATTTTATAATATAATTTTTAAAACATTATAAAAATTTAAGTTCATGTTTATACATTTATTAAAGATTTAAAACATAATTATATTAAGCAAAATAATCAATAAAATTATCACAATAAATTATAAGTTAATTAATATATAAATTCATTAATTCTGATTTTATTAATTCATAAAAAAATAATTTTAATTTCGAAACCAAAAAAGACATAGTCTCCCCTCATAATTATTATTTTTTTATGTAGCATATATTTGAAAAGTTAATGAATAATGTCAGCTGTTATTGTAATAAACTTTTACTGCCATAGCTAAATCTAATATTCCTCTATTATATATATATATATTTTTAATTCTTTTGATATTTATAGATTGTTTTCTCTCTTTTTTTTCTTTTTTTTTAAGTACATGTAGTTTACTATGTTGAGAACATAGAAAATCAGGTTTATTGTCACCAATATTTGTTCTTATTTTCCGATGACACATATATCCTTCTTTTTTTCCTCTTTTATAAACATATGAACATATATTATTACTGCTATTGATATACCAGAAATTGTTTGTTTTTGTTTCTTCCAATTTTTCCTTTATGATATTTTTCATTAGTTTTTGTTTTTTTTCTTTCAAATCATATAGAGTTTCATCATCAAAATATTTATCCATAACTTGAGTTATGATAATATTCATTGAGCTTATCATAGTTTGTTTACATACAAGGATTTCTGTGTTGAGGATCACCATTTTTTTATATTAGCTAATATTATTGTGATTATATTTTTATATTATAAATAAAATTCAATTTTGTTTTTCCGATTTTTAAAATTCAGCTGATAATTAAAAATTTGGTGATAGCAAGTTATATAGTAATAAACTGATTAGTCCTCTTACCGTACGATAACATTTTATATAATCATATGCTACTTAATCACTAAAATAACTATATTTATAGTGAATACATGCATCCTGCATCCCAGAGGCAGCGTCACAATTAGTAATCATTTCCTTCTTACAAATACTTTTCATGAAAGTATATATATTGTATCCCTCTTCATATATAGTTTATAATATGTTTATACTATTTACTATTATCCTTCTTCTACTTCTTCTTCTTCTCTTTCTTATATTTTACTCCCACTTACTAGCTATTATTAGCAATTTTATCAAATAAAAGGCACGATCGCATATATTAGAGCACCTACAGCGGTCGCTGTTAAGAACCTGTTATATTAAATTTAACAGTTTATTTAACAGCCAGACATTGCAGCGGTTGCTGTTAATATCCTATTAAACTTAACAGTTTCTTGAATCGAGAATCGAGAAAAAGAACTTGAAAAACAAAGCTAATATCTCACTTCATTCTTTGTTCGTATTCTTCAAATTGAACAACACTGCTACTAATGCCACTCTCCTGTCTGACATTTCTGCTGCTGCCCCCTGCTCAGGAGAAAGGGCAATTGTTTATTAAAACCAATAACGTGTGAAGTTAACAGCTTCGTAACAGTAACTGCTGCACGAAATGCCCTATCAAGCTGTTACGCACTGTTAAGTGGGCTATAAAACTCTGAAATCTAACAATTTCGTAACAGCGACTGCTGCAGGTGCTCTTAATAGCTATAGTGTTTTGTAAATGATTTTGTGCACTATTTTTTTCTATTTTGTGCCTTACTTTTTTTTAGTTTGTATACCTAATAAATTTTGCACTAAGGTTTGTGTACCCCCTATATTTTTTGCGTATGATGAAATAATTTTTGTGCCTCGAGATATCAGTTTGTGTACTGGAAGAAATATTTGTGTATCGAGTTTTTAATAATTTGTGAGTTAAAGATTTAGTTCACTACCTAGACATCTGTCGAAGAAAGACATGGAGTGCCTGATATAACCCTGAAAGTCTTTGATTGTAACTAGTTTTGCTGCCTCTATGATCCTTTCACTGAGATTATTTTTGACTGTCAAGCAATCTCGTCTGACACCAGCTTTCACCTTAGCCCAGAATTCCTCGATAGGATTGAGGAATAGAGAATATGGGGGTAGGTATGCTGCTTTGTATCCTCTTTCTTGGATTTAATTTCAAATTTCATCTGTCTTGTGTATGGTTGCATTGTTAATCACGATGTATCTGCCGGTTATGCCATTCTGATCCAGGGATGTCAAGACGCCATCGAGGAACTCTAGAAAGTGAATAGCTCTAGTGCCTACTCTTCTATTAACCTTCTCAACTGCTTCAACTGCTTCCTCTGCAGAATCGTCATTTCTCTTCCGTTTCTTCTTGCACTTGGTGGACTTCTTTGTTACTGGCGTTGGTTTTCTTAATGTCAAATCAATAACTCCAAGCTTGCATATGGCACCGATAATGGATATTAATACACCTCTGTTTAAAGGGACAACTTGCTTAGCAGTGGTTCCCTTGATTGACTGTCCAAAGTTTCCTCTAAGGTGCATGTTGAATCCAGCTTCGTCCACGAATACGCAATTGGTGGCATAATCCATCTCTAGATCAGCCATCCATTCGTTTATCCTAGCAACTCTTGTCTCGATCGTTGTGGGGGCATTTCTTGCGGCAAGAAGTTTGTTCAATCTTTTCAGTGTTAAGCTGCAGTGTTTGACCAAATGTCTATGTAGGCTAGATATGTCGATCGACAATGCTAGGAAGTTCACATACAGGGCATCGCGAGCCTCCCAAAGCACGGCTGATTGATTGTTGTCAAAGAAATCCATCAAAAAAGCGGTGTGTTCCTCTTTCAGCTTGCGATTGTTGCCTCTAAGAGAATTCTTCTTCATGCCTACAAGCCAACCTGGATCCTCCTTGAGCCTGTATTGACGAACATAATGTTGGGCGGTTCTCACCACGATACCTGTCAAAATTCCTGCCTTTCTTGCTGAGAGACCACTGAAGATTGCCAAATCTAATAGTGCTTGGATTTGCTGTGGGGTGTATGATCTATAGTTTCCTCTAATCTGTCTAGCCACAGTCTTGGGTTTCTTTCCACTCTGTGCCTTCTTCTCTTCCCTCAGTTTCGAGACCTCTGCCTTTCATATGCCAACAGTATCCACCTCCATTGATTGTATCTCTCGTCTTGCTTCTTCTTTCCAGCTTGATAAGTCCATAATCCTCCTCACTAGTGGCTCTGGTGGAGCCCTTTCTTTTGGCAGATCTGCTACTCCAGGAATATACTGCTCCCACTCCATGTTGGCGATGCCGAAAAGATCTGGAGTTTCCTCAGTGTCCATTTCCTCGTTTTGGATGACGCCCATTTCATCATTGACGTTGAGGCAGTTCACATATTCCGGCGGCACTTCTGAAGGGTAGTTGTCATCGAAGTTGGCACCAGTTCTTGAATCGAAATTGTTGACCAAATGATTTGGGATGGCCATGTTAGAAATGTATGCAAAATATTATTCGAAGGCGCAAATTATTAATCAAGTACGCAAAAAATATGGGGGTACGCAAACCTTATTGCAAAACTTATTGGGTACACAAACTAAAAAAAAGTAAGGCGCAAAATGTAAAAAAATAGTGCGCAAAATCATTTACAAAACACTGTATTATGCTTTGTTATAACTGGTATATTCATATGATTGTAATAAACTTGGATGATAGACAGGGAAAATTTAGAAGATGATCTTTTGCTTCTTGGGAGGTTCAGTTCCATTGCTTGCTGGATCGTATAGAGGCACAGGTAGAATCAATGGGTCAGCAACGGTGTCAGGGGGGAAGAAGGTACCTCGGAGCCAATCCTTGTAGTCAATCGCCTTGCTCTTCCTCTTGCGACTAAAGTACAAGTCGTAGGATCTGTCGTTAGTCTGATTCAATTGTTGGGAAAGCTTGATTGCAGATGTGTAGATCAACTCCAGAATTGCAAACCATGAATCAGCGTCTTTGGCAAGAAGCTTAGGGCAGGAAGGCAATGAGAGGCTAGTCTTCTTCCAGAGACAATATAGACCACAATCGTATAAGGAGAGGACTTTGACATTGCATTGGTTCTGGTAGACTTGGAACATGAGGGTCATATCTGTTCTTGGATCAAAGCTAGTAGCATGTCGCACAATATGATCAAGGACGCCTTTGCTTTCGATAGCCAGTTTCAGATGGTCGTTGTTGGTCTTCTAGTTTTGTAGATATCAGGCTGCCTCAACGTCCAGCACATCAACCTTCTGTGTATTTGTTATAGCAATGACTCGATGATCGATCTTGTAATCGTTGTGGTGTGCCTTGGACTCTCCCTATCTGCACTTGACATTATGCTGGCTGTCAGGAAAGAGAGACTCAAAGACCTCCGTTCAGAGCTTGACCAGACCGTCCAGCTCAGTGTTATCCTTAATGCTGTTATTCAGAGAGCTGTGCTGATGACGATAAATGTTGAAGATGTGTTCCTTGTCACTGTTCAAAGCAGCAGATTCAGAGTTTCTTACGCTTTGGTAGGCTTTGTCAAGGCCTTCGTTCTTAATTGCTTTGTTGATCTTTTTAAAAAAGTGGCTTGAACACTTGCTTGTTGCACTTGATGCTGAACTGGTACTTGCTTTTCATCATGGCCCATTTTTCGTCACTGAAAAACCTGCACTATGAATCTGTAGATTCATCTGATAAATCTGTGATACTGTTAAGACAAAGACCTACGACGTGTTTTTATTTGTTGTTGAGTTCTTTGTATCGTCCTACAAAAGCTTTGCCATGTCACTTGATCGTTGTGCCCACCGAAACACCATCGAACAAAAGACTATCAGCTTCCATCTATTTTGAATGTTAGAGTATATGAAGCGACATAATGCTATTGTATCATCCTTACCTTGGGAGTCTCCACTTTGCGTTTCATGTGCATAATATTCGATACTTTTTTTTGCCCTGACGATGAGACAGCCAAAAGACGACTTAATGCAGCAGCATCCAAATCAGTATGGAAAAGGTTTGTATTCAGTTGGTTTCTGGCTTTGTTGCGCATTTCCCAATAGGCCAAAGCTTCATCAGTGTTGAGCACCTCGTAGTTATACTGCTTCACATTTTCGCACCATTTCTTGACAGCCTCAGGGCACGATTCGTTGGTAGGGAGCGAATCAATGGTTGTTTCAAATTGGTAGGTTGCAAGATCTATGCTTAGATCAAAACACGTAGACTCTAGAAACCTTACTGCATAAAGCTTTAATAATGAGATAATATATACGACTCCATAGTATGATACTAAAGAGTATTGCAATGATAAAATGTGAAAAATGCTTTTGTAGATGGAGCTTAAAAATTCGGGGTACATAAGTAAATCATAATATTCTCAATGCTTACAACATCATTTCGTTTGGGAAGGCAAAAAAGCTTCTTGATAAGAACATTTCCTGTGTTTTGGCTTACAACACTCTTCTGCAACCATAGAGACATATGCTTTTGTTACAGTTGCATGCAGAGGGACATCTTATAGTGTGCCAGTAGTATATGTCTAAGATGAGATTCTTGTAGACACAATTGAGAAGAAAAAAGAAGTTATGAAAAATAAAATAAAAGAAAAAATCAATTATATTAAAGATAAATAATTTTGGTATTTAATTTCAAGTCCTAATGTATATACATATATATATATATAAGAGAGCTAAAAAGGAGGGAAATATATGTTATCGTAAAATAAGAACTAATCTGAATAAACAAGAACCTGATTTTCTTTGTAGTATACATAGCAAAAAGCACATAATTAAAAAAAAAAGAATAAAATAATTAATGAAGATTTTATTATTAAAAAATTTGATTATAAAAGAAAAAAAAGATAAAAAAAAAGATAAAAAAACAAAATTAAAGTAAAAAAAATATATGTCTGTAAAGTAGGTATATTAGATTTAAATAAGATTATCAATGATATATTAAACTAATACAAAAAAAATAGAAAATCAAAAACATATATAAATTTTTTTATAGGTACTGTAGATCATTTTATCTTATCCTACTATTTAGGTGATACAAATTGATACAAATCCTTTATATTATTCCTAACTTAAACTTTTATTTATAGATAACAAAAAATATGGCCATTAGGAAAAATAAAAATAAATTATTATAGTTATTTATTTTTAATGAAATTATTCCTTGAAATTATTTATCTTTTTGCTGATGAACATTGTTTATACTAAGATGGGTATTAAATAAATAAGTCATAATAATTCCTAAAAAGTATAGCAAATATGAAGATATTCTTCCTGATATTAAAGGATTTTATCAATGTAACTTAAAATGTTTTTATGATGATACAAGAACTTTATTTAATTAGTAAATATAAATACTTTTATTAAAGTTTTGTAATTATAAATTAGAAAAGATTTATAAAAAATTTAGGATTATTCTTATTTTTATGGTTTTAAATTAATTATTCCAAACATTTTATCTTTAATATCATTTTTACAAATATTATATTAGAAACTTTAGAAATTTAAATAAATTAAGAAAATAATATAATTAAATACAATTAATAAAAAACATCATATGTTGGAAATAGAAGATTTATACAAAAAAAGAAAAACTATTTGTAATTTATAAATTTTATGTATTTATTATTTTTTATATTTTAGGTTTTTAATAAAAATAATATTATTATATTTTTAAAGTAAATTTTAATTATCAAAATCTTTTTTTCTCTAAAAATTATAAATATAATTATTTCTAGATTTTAATATAAAATATTTACATTTTTTTCAGAATTAAGATAGTTATAGTTTATAATATTATTAATATTTAACAAATATATTTTATAATTATATTATAATTTAAGATTGTTTTTCTTTATTAAGGTTTATTATGTTATTTGTAGATAATAATGAAAACGAAATGATTCTGACTTATCCCCTAGCTAGTTCACTAGTATGACATCGGAGGAATGGCGAACATGAACAGTTGCACTTTCCCCTATTCTGCTCAAGTCAAAGCTACTTAGGGAACATTACGATAACTAGCTCAAGTTCATCGAAGCTGCACGTATCCTTTGCCAACCCTCAATTAAGATTGCTAATATCGACATTGCTCAAATCTGCTTGCAGCAGTTTTGCAAAAAGTGCGTTGAACTGCACGGCCTGGAGTTTATCACAATGAATGTGCACCTCCATGGCTGTATTCGTGATTCTGTCCTCGATTTCAGTCCTTGCTATAGATTTTGGCTCTTCAGTTTCGAATAGTAGAATGGTATTGTTAAGAACCAGAATACTAATCGAAAGAATCATTTTGAAGTGACGTATATGAGGCAGTTCTTGATGGATGTGTATGGCAACGATCTTATACATCAATATTGGCAACAGTATTGCAATGAACCCATAGTTGCATCAATTTCCAGTCTTCTTGTACCGCTGCAAAGGAACGTTTCGGCTGAAATGACTACGTTTTATGTGCAATCGTTCTTAGAAGCTTCTGATTTAGAGCTGAATCGTCATAGACAAGGGTTGTTGGTGTGTGGATCGGAGCTGCTGCCTCCATCAAGTTACCCTTTACAAACAGGCAAGGAAATACATAGACCTCTGTCATTACCACTGCTTGGTCGAGTATTATCGAAGTATCTATAGTGGCGATTATTTCCCGCTTAGTCAAGAAGCAGACAATCTTGTGTATGACGTGATCTACAAGTACCCGAAGATCGAGCTCATGGGTCAACAGTTCATCTCAGAGATGACTCGCCACACGCGCGTGAGCACATACGTTCGTATTGTTCTTACTGGTGGCGAACCCCAGCCTAGTCGCATCCTGTACTTTTTCAAGCACAAGCTTTTAATCGACCAGCAATATGTGGAACATGTCTTCGCTTTCGTCGAGTTTTCAAAGAAGAATGAGACAGATTTTGAGTCGTTCTGGTTGAGAAATCTGCCGGTTTACCACCTAGAAATCCTTCCATACGGCAAGGATTGGATCGTCCCTATATACAGGCCCCATTCCGGCGTCACGGTCTGCCCACTTCCGTTCGATCGTAGCTGCACTCTTATATATTTGCCTTGCAAAACAAAAATTGTTTACACCTAGTCGATATATAGAAATATAACATCATCAGCATCTGTCCCATTCACATCTAATTACTTTTTTTTTTAAATCTCTTTTGAAAATAAATACCAGGCTTGAGGAAGTATACATATCAACAAGTCTTCTTCTATATAAGATAAAAAGTAAAAAAGGGTTAGATCTGTAGATAAATGGGAAACAACATACTAGTGAGCAAAACTTTCAGATACAAGAATAAATACGTACTGAACTGATTACGTCATTTTTTTCTTCTTCATATACTCGTGCGGTGTTGTTAGTAAAAACATTCATCACAGAACGTTCATTAGTGTCAGTGTTTTCTGCAATACAACGTGTTTGTACGGGTTGATTACTGGAGGCAATGCTGCTACGAATTCATTTGGCTAATGTTAAAGAACATGTGTGTGCAGAGTTGCTGTCCTTCCATTTCTACTTAATGGCTGTCTGGTTTACCTAATTTGATCGATTGAATTTAATTTTTTTCCTTTGAATTAACTTGTTGTACTAGAATCATCGAGCTTTCTATTAGTTTAAAAAGTAAAGTCTGGTAAGATTAATGTCGTGTACTTGAAAAAAAAAATATAAAAACTGCGGAAGCAGATACAATGTAACACAAGATGTTCATAACGAAACATTAGAAAATTATACCATAAGCTCTTTTTTTAAATGTTCGTTATGACAACAGTGATTCTCTATTCTTATAAAGCTGCTTTTTATGAGAGAATTATCATTTAAAAATATATATAGAAGAGAAAACGCTCCCATTACTGTTCCCTCTCCTCTACCTTTTTTGTGCCGCTCATTAGCGTTAAAAAATGATTAATGCTGCGATTTTTTTTCGAAGGGTGCAGTCTTCAGCAGAGCATCGTCGCTGTGTTGAGTGAATGATGTGTTGTTATGTTTAACAGATGGAGCATAATTATTAATGAAAGCATCGTTGTTATACTTAGTAGATACTGCTTAATAAATTTGGAAGAAGTATGTAGCAGAGAAGCAGGTAGCTAAGGCCAAGTTGAACCCCACGCATTCTGATGAAAATAATCCTACTGAAAGTAAGAAGGGGGCCGCTCCTCACAAGATGGAGAAGAGGCTGTATTTTTTTTTTTGGATTTTTAGGGGATAAAAATCAGGGGACCAACCCAGATTCAAATCTTATACTATTCATATACCAGTCTTATACCAATATCGCTCTTATACTAGTCGTATACTATACTATTCTTATACCATCTTATACACCACTTTTCCCAAGCTCCTTATTCTGCCCCGACTATAACTTTGGCCCCCCGCCCCCAGTTTTCAATTTTTTTGAAAGTCAGATAGGTGAAGGGAAGCAGGCACAGAATAAAGGGACTTGGAGAAAAAATTGAGTGCAGCAGTATATGTTTTGTCAGCGATCAAAAAAACATTGTAACTACATGGTCTGCCATTCATCTTGAGACAAGGTAATTATAAAAGTACATCTGTAAATCGTAAAGCTCATTGAGAATGGGGAGCAGTAGCTAAATAGCACAGGGAGAGCAATTACACTTTGCGGCAGAAATAAGCATCTGCACCTACTACTAACGGTCACTGTCAGGCCTGCTCAAATCAATTCTAATAGACACAACTGTAACAGCGATTCGAGATGAAGTTGGATTCAACACGTAATTATAATATATGCGGTGAGATGGAGGTAAGAACGAACGTATATATTGGATATACATATATGTGTGCGCGCGTATGTGTTCGTTGGTATAGCATTGTGGTAAAAACGAAGGCCTTTCTTGTCTTTGTTCTTGCTACAAACGCACACGATCATTTTACCGATTCCTTCTACCATCGACGTCGAAGCTTCCACCATTCAATAATCCAAACGTCGATGGCCCTTGATGGACGACGAAAAACATACAAGAACTTGTTATGGTGTGTTGGTACTTGCTGCGCAAATACTTTTACAATACTCGTTTCTATACCTCGCGTATAAACACACACAATGTCCAACCCGTTTAGCATTCGCCATCTCAAGGAATGGTAAAGGCTTATTTAGTGTAATCTACAATGTTGATGGTAAGTGTTGCAAGTGTTTTCTAAGTTTTTATAATTATAAAGGGTGCATAAGTACTACTATTCCTTGCTCTATCATACTGCCCCTTCTATTTCAGCAACCAGCAAAGATATCAGTGCAGCTTATAGGTAGGCAGATCTTATGAAGGAATGGGTGGGATGCACGTCAAACATGCTGTTGAGCGGTCTATGTTATGTTACATACTGTACTTATTTTATAGCCCTGGAAACACACTCACACAAGGATGGTATCAGTGGCTAAATACAAGAAGGACGAAAGAACAGTAGTCGTATTCAATAAATAACTAGTAGTGCATGAAGAAACATATAATGATGTAGTAGTTAGGTACCTTTATTTGAAGTGCTTTAGATACAGTATTGAAGTGACAAAAAAAGGGGGTTTTCATCAAAGCGGATATATTCATAGCCATAAGTAATAATAATTCTATAAATAAGGAGATTATTTATAAATTTATAATTACTATTGTATTTCCAAAAAAAAAATTGAATTTCTATTTATTAAAAAAGTAATAATGATGGATGTTAATAGCTTGATAACAAATGAGATTAATTCAATTCTTATAAATTATTGGATTTTTTTGAATAATAATTGGCCTGTTATTAATCATAAATATAAACATAGAACTGAATTAAAACATATAAATTATATAGACATTATTAAAAAAAATTAGTAGAAAAATTAGGATATATTGCTGTATTTTTCTTTTTAATAGTATTATATGGCAATAAGGAGTACCCTGGACCTTACTATGAAATTGAAAAAGGTTTATTCTTATTATACCATTTAGTTTCGGGTATTGCTGGGAAAGAAGAAATAGATAAATATCTTCCGCAAAGTACATTTCATCGCTTTTATAAAAAATTTTGGATGGATGAAGATAATTATAAAAGGTTAAACAAAATTGTTAATGAGTCATTAGATACTATGTTTTCTAATATAAGATTAAGAATATTATCAGCACATAAATACAATCCTGATTTGTTTAAACATATTACTTTAATTCTTGACGGTCACGATTCAAGAATCAATTATGTGGATACAGAAATTAAGCATAGCAGATTATATTCTTACAAATTTAAAAAAAATGGATTAAGAACACAAATCGTTAGTGATATTAATGATATGATACTTTTTATATCCAAAAGTAATTTTTGTTCAGATAGTTCAGATGGTTCAATGTTTCTTAATATGAAATTATATCACAAAATGGATGATAAAGATACTATTGCTATCGACGGCGGATATACTTTGTTTGTAAACCAATTTGTAGATTTAGCTGTTGAAAAAGGTTATACATATAGTGATTCTAATTTTGTTTATCCTATTAGAAAAAATGTTAATGAAAGTTTATCTATAACTGAAGACCATTTTAATAAGACCTTTGGAAGTTTTCGTTCAAAAATAGAAAATCAGTTTTCAGAGTTAGGTAATAAATTTTATAGATTTAATAACAATAAATCAGTTGTTAGAATGGATAATATAAAGTTTTACAATTTACAATTTAAGGTTGCCTGTTTATTAAAAAATATTAGTATTATTGTAGATAAATTTAATGTACCAATTTTACCCCATCATAAACTATGGGAATCAGATGGATTTGAATTTCCTGTTGAAAAAAAATTATTAAATATTGTAGTAAGTAATGATAAGCAAAATAAAGATAAATTAGATAAAATGCTTGAATTATAAATGGATTTCTTAAATATAAATGTATCAGAAAATAATATGGTTATTGATGAGTTTTCAGATGAAGATTCTAATAATCATAAAGATATTTCAAGTGAAGGTGAAGATGTCCCTAAATTCAATGAAAGGTCTAAAAAAAGAAAATTAAAAGGAAAACAAAAGGAAAAAAATTATAAATCCTATCAAATTGAAGCTGTTGTTGACCATAAACTTAAAGATGGTTTATATACATTTTTAGTTAAATGGAAAGATTATTCCGATAGTGATAATAGTTGGCTAACAATAGAAAAGTTTAATGAAAAGGAAATGTTAAATGAATATATTAAAAATAATAATCTTGGTGCATTATAAATAATTCGATAATCTCCCCCTCCTATATACAAATGAATATCTATATAGGATATATTGTTGTATGTATGACGTCTGCAGTTAATGTAATAAGCTTTTTATAAAATATTCCAGGTTAAGGTTGCCGCTATTACATACATATATTGTTTTTGATTTTCTTTTTTTTACTTTTTTTAAATCTTTTTTAGGATTACCATTATCAATAGATATGCAAGGTGGTAAAACAATTTTTTTATTTTTTTTCTTGGGCACATGAATTTTACTATGACTAGAACATAGATAATCAAGCTTGTTATCTCCAATATTAGTTCTAATCTTCCTGTGGCACATGTGACCTTCTTTCTTACCTCTTGTATGTATGAAAGTGCAAATATTTTCACTACTATTTAAGTACCAAAATTGTTTATCTTTAACTTTATTCATTTTTTCATTTATTTTATTTTCCATAATCTTCATCTTACTTTCTTTTTTTTCTACCAACACTTCATCATCAAAATATTCCTTCATAACCTCTTCTATAAGATTTCTTATACTTTTAGTTAAGGATTTAGTAGATACAGGAATTTCTGTGTTTAAATTACTATTTTAAAAATTTATTGAAATGGTAAGAGAACTTGGATGTTTTTATTTTTTTAATTAAAAAAAATTCAATTTTTTTTTACTTAAAAGATTTTTAATTACCCATGAGTAATTGATTACTAATATTTTTATTAAATACTTATAATTATAAGTATACCGCCAAATATGTGGTATTGTGAAATCAGTTGTTATGTCAGGTTATTAAAAAGGCAATACAGTCAATATTGAACACGTCTCTTGTTCCTGATTCCTAATCTCATAGCTACATCTCAAAATCTCAAACATGAACAACACCCCAAACGCTTCTACTACACCCCCGTTCACTATAGATGCTCAAAAAGGCAAAGATGGCACTGCACCACCCAGAAAATGCGCTGTGATTGGCTAAAGTCTCTATGTTGCACGAAAAATAAAGTTATAGCCTAAAAACTTACCTACAGCTGTCTCATGCATCTGCCTTGTGGCTGGATGGGGGGCCTTTTTTAGGGGGTCTGGCTCATGTGACATGGAAAAGTGATTGATTTTTACTAAGTCATTTCTGCATGAAAGAAGGATGTTGGTTCAATTATATTGGCAGCATATATCAAGAGTTAAGCATACAGTAAGAGAGAGATAAAATAATAATGAATGAGACATAGGAAATAAGTAGGTGAACTTACATAAAGATAACAGAAAGAGCGTAAAGATATTAGAAAGAGCATAAAGATAATAGAAAGAGCGTAAAGATATTAGAAAGAGCATAAAGATAATGGGAAGAGCATAATAAAGACAATGGGAAGAGCATAATGACAATGAGAAGAACATAAAGGATAATGGGAAGAACATAAATAATTACAAGCAGAAAAGTAGAAAAAGAGAGCATAGTGGAATTTAGTCATAAGAGAAGTACAGGTCTTCACAACGACGAGACTTCTTCCGGAGCCAACACCAAAAGCCTCCACAGCGAACCGAACTTGCCAATGTTGATGATGCGCTCTTGTTGACCAGTAGCTTGAACTTGGATGTCCAATGCTTCCAAGAGACTTATCTCTGAAAGATGTACCTCCAACGTACTGGTTCCTGAGCGCCTTAATCTGACATTGGCAGCATCATCCTTACTGGTGTTCGTATAAATGGACGTGGAAAAGTTCGTTGTATATGCAGAGGATAAACGAGAGAAGTCAACGGTGGGGTACGGAGTGATTACGGGCTTAAACAATTTGAAGTACACTGCTCCTGTATGCTTGTTCAAACTTGTAATTTCAGCCAAGACATCTTGACACCCACTGCTCTTTCTGATCCTAAAGAGACCGCTGACGCCTCGCTTAAGAGTCACCTTGTGCTCATTGTTGTCGACGTTTTCACGGTCAGCTCCGAAGTACAACTTGCGGAAACTGTCGTTTGCTCGTACAAAATCAATGATCTTGTTGCTGGCATGAACAAGTCGACCGGACGCGACATGGGGAAAATAGCCTCCATTGACAATGCAACGAAACATTGTATACCGTCCAAAGGAAACAAGTAGGTCTCGCGAAGGGTTGTGGCGGTTGGTGTGGAAGATGTGTTCTCAGAGGAATTTGTTGAACTATTCGCCTTTTTCTGATTCAAAATGAATAGCAGTGGCGAAACGTTCGATATCCTCCACGATGTGATGTAAGATGTGTAGCTTGGGCTTGTTACCCATCTTACTGTTGGCGGTCATATTTCCTTGCGCAACAAGGAAATTGTCGACAACACCAATCATAGCCGTCAATTCCTCCGTCTTCTTGTTCAGCAGCAGCTTGTACATAGAGAACTTTGTTTCTATCTTGGACATGAATAATAGCGACATGACCTCTCCGTGTACACGGAAGCAGTCAAAGAACGCCCGGAGACCCTCCATTTTCTCCTCGCTTTTTGCTGACCAACCATGATGGAGGAGATCGTTGAGGATGACGGCTGCTTGCTGGCTAAAGACCTTGTAATCGCGACCGACAAAGGAACGGCGAAGACGCAGACTACTACTGAGCATGCGACGGAAGGCTTTCGAGTCGTAGCTGCGGCACTTGAGCTCGAGGTCTTTGAGCTCGTCGCTGTCAAGATAATTGCAAAATTCAAGCAAGAGATATTTGGTGACTCCCAGCATCGTGGTGTGCAGTATCTCTACTGGGCAGTCTTTCGTAATGTCAAACGCCTCGAGGTTGCCCAACGCCTCCCCACCAGTCAGTTTATATCCTACAGCAGTAGGATTCGCTGTCACAGTGTCATTTGGCAATCGCACCAGATCCTCCAGATCAAGACCCATTGACAGCATTGCAACGTCAGTAATATTGCGAGGTGGAGCTGCCCAGTGCTCATCACATCCTTTATAGTAGTAGCACTTGCGACAAGGAAAGTTGAAGCAAGGCCTTTGCTACACACGAGTTCGGCGTGCCGAGGATTGTCGGCCGAAATAAAGCACAGCGGCGCCACCACCAACACGTCCTGATTGCTAGCAGCATCGAACATCACCACACCCTTCGAGCAGCTCGCACAAGTCCTCGACAATAAAGGGAAGCATCTCCAAAGCAGTCAATTTGTTGTGGACAGCTATCAAGTGCGTGCTCTCCCGTTTGTTGCGTTCAGCGAGTGGAAGTGCAGCGGGCGTTAGAGACCAGCTATCGAACTTGTTCCATTTTTTTGATCGTTGCCGCTAGTGTCATCAGTGAACAAGTTCACTGGTACGATCTTGACAGGCAGCCGACGATCGTAACGCAAACCGATTCTGAAATCACTATGCTTCGTAAAGTCAATAGGGATGAACTCGCCGCTGTCGAAATCGCAGATATCCCCAGCAGCACCGGAACTAGTCACCTTTGCAGCAACGTGCTCGAGATAATGCCATTTGCAATTGGCATCATAATCAAGGGCAAGTCTATCGATTGGCATTGTTACGTAGTATAGATGTTCAGGATCGCTCTCGTAGGAAAGTACGGCTACTTCCGTGTTACCCTGCTTTTTGGCCAGTTTGACGGGACAGATGTCGGCAAATGTAATACCATGCTTAGTGTAGAACTTTGCAATTTTGCACGTTGTTTGCTGCCCGATGCCGATTATTTTGGCATAATCACCAACCCAAAGCATTGCTCCTACAGAATTAGTAACGCACGGATGCTGGAATAGATTGCAGGTGTTCCATTTACTGCCTTGCGTCAATTCGATTCGCTGGTCAGGCGTTTTGTCGGGTAGAGCACTCAAACTCGAAGAGACAGTTGGATCAGCGTTGAGTAGCTTTAAGCAATCTGATGGCTTATGCATATGTGCCGTAACTTCGATAGTTTCGTCTGTATTAGGCTTGCTGATCTCTGCTTTGACTGTTGTTATTCTTATTTTTGGCACTTTGCTTCGCTTAGCATACGATAGATCCATCATCCAACGAACAGATGGCACCTTGAGGTCCTTATCCTCACGAAACATCACGGCTACATCTTCGAGAAGACTTTTCAGCTGCTTTTTAATCATCCTGTCTTCAGGCAATCGTCTGCGTGGAAGAAGGCAGCAAGACGAAATTGCAACTGGTTCTCGAAAGGGTACCAGTCTTCGTTGGTCTCGTAGTCGACGCTGAAATCGAGCGGATTATCACCATCATCATCACCTTCGTCGATTTCATCGTCGCTGCCACCATCACTCTCCACATCAGCAGCGAACTCGGCATTAGCACCAGATTCCTGCCGCCGAGAGAGGAAAACACCGTACGACTGACGCAAAGCAGCAATGTCGACCAACTCGTCGTCACTGTCATCGTCGTCTTCGACGTCGTCGTTGCTACCACTATGCTGCTGCTGGTGCTCCTCTCCCGAATTGGTGCTGTCAACGTCCATATCCCCAGCATTAGAAGCCGAAGCACGGACGATGCGGGCATCATATTCAGCAACATTCGCTTGATGTTTCAATGAGCTAACATGAGTTTTCCAGTTTCCTAAGCCATCTCCAAGCTTGATGACAGTGTTACAAGGAACACATGTTTTGGTTTTAGGCTGCTTCTGAGTTTGTGCGTTAATGGAGAAGACGTTGAAGGACATGGTCGAATGGAGATGGTTGTAATTGAGAATAAAGGTGAGTGCAAAAGAGAAAAAAAAAGGTTAATTGCTGAATTAAATTAAGAATGCCCCAGCTCAATTTCCGTCTCCCTTTTTCTCCACCTTCTTCTTGCCACCATCTTTTGCAATTCAGGTAACAATGTCTTACTTATTTTCTTCGTTTAAGACCACTGAAACCTAAATCAATAAAGCATCTTCTTAGATGTTCTCAAACTAATCTGTAGGCTATTATAAAACAAGGTAAGAATGCTTAGTTGCTTGTTTGGAATTTGAAAAAAGCTCTCTTTAGTGACTAATCTCTTTTTGAATTAATAGTCATGATGGTGCTATAAGTGCTTTTATTGGCGACTGTCTGTAAGTATACGTTTATTCCTTTAGGGCATGGGCTGTTAAACGACATGGAAATTGCTAATATATGTTTCTGTTAAACCATAGGCTAACTATAGGCTATATGAAGTACACGCCGATTTATACTGCTCATATCTTTGGTAAGTTGAAAATGATGACGCGTTGACAAAACCTATATAAGCTATCAAGGCTAATCATCATCTTTTTAAAAGCAATACTAGAATGGTATAACCTCAAGTAACAGTTTCACTACTGTTTTCTGAAGTCCGTTTTGCAAGCTTGAAAGCGTCATCGATTATTTTATTAGCGTATTTAGTTACGCAGTATCCATAAAATTTTGCCCATAATTTTTTTCAATAAACGTTTTTTTACGCCAATCCTATCCAAAATGCAAAGCCTCATCATCTGCATCTCATCGTAAATGAATTGGGGGGGTGGGGGGGACCTGGTTCTTTTTCTGCTGTCCCAATATGGTAGCTGCATGCGATAACTCAAAAAGGCAACTGGTTTCCTCTTTTTTTTTGTATGGGTGTGTACTACTCCCACCACCACTACTACCCTCCCAATTTTGATCTCGGCCAACCTTGCCTAGGCACACCCTGAAGGTGCAGTATGTAACATAACATAGACCGCTCAACAGCATGTTTGACGTGCATCCCACCCATTCCTTCATAAGATCTGCCTACCTATAAGCTGCACTGATATCTTTGCTGGTTGCTGAAATAGAAGGGGCAGTATGATAGAGCAAGGAATAGTAGTACTTATGCACCCTTTATAATTATAAAAACTTAGAAAACACTTGCAGCACTTACCATCAACATTGTAGATTACAATAAATAAGCCTTTACCATTCCTTGAGATGGCGAATGCTAAACGGGTTGGACATTGTGTGTGTTTATACGCGAGGTATAGAAACGAGTATTGTAAAAGTATTTGCGCAGCAAGTACCAACACACCATAACAAGTTCTTGTATGTTTTTCGTCGTCCATCAAGGGCCATCGACGTTTGGATTATTGAATGGTAGAAGCTTCGACGTCGATGGTAAAAGGAACCGGTAAAATGAACGTGTGCGTTTGTAGCAAGAACAAAGACAAGAAAGGCCTTCGTTTTTACCACAATGCTATACCAACGAACACATACGCGCGCACACATATATGTATATCCAATATATACGTTCGTTCTTACCTCCATCTCACCGCATATATTATAATTACGTGTTGAATCCAACTTCATCTCGAATCGCTGTTACAGTTGTGTCTATTAGAATTGATTTGAGCAGGCCTGACAGTGACCGTTAGTAGTAGGTGCAGATGCTTATTTCTGCCGCAAAGTGTAATTGCTCTCCCTGTGCTATTTAGCTACTGCTCCCCATTCTCAATGAGCTTTACGATTTACAGATGCACTTTTATAATTACCTTGTCTCAAGATGAATGGCAGACCATGTAGTTACAATGTTTTTTTGATCGCTGACAAAACATATACTGCTGCACTCAATTTTTTCTCTAAGTCCCTTTATTCTGTGCCTGCTTCCCTTCAATTATCTGACTTTCAAAAAAATTGAAAACTGGGGGCGGGTGGGGGGGGCCAAAGTTAAAGTCGGGGCAGAATAAGGAACTTGCACTTTTCCTGCTGTGTGTCACTGGATTTGGCAAGCGATTTCAGAGTGCTTTCAGAGTACTTATCAGAGTACACTGAATGACCGTTTTGTTTATGGGTGATACACGTCTCCTGCATGCCATTCATAGCTTCTTACTGGTTAGGGAGATGTTTAAGCGGCACAGTGACATTGGTGAGTTCGTGGCTTCCTGTGCATTAAGGCTTGCTAATGATTCATTGGGAGAAACAAACTTCCATTCCCTTTATCCAATTCTATTTACTCAGAAACCACTCATACACCCCTTTTCATTTGCTCAAAATTGCTCATACATGCATATAGTATATTGCTCATATGTGCATATAGCCAATGATAGTGCTTTATTGGACCACACGGCACTGACGGTGACGCGTCAGCACAGGTAGTAAAAAAAAAGGATGGAATAATAGTATACAAAAAATAGTAGGGGAAAAAATACAAAAGAAAAGCCATATAGAAACTATTCAATAAACCACACATGCTGATGGTATTCAAAAAGCAGCAGTACTAAGGATTCTTGTTACAGCGATGTACATAGAGATTTCCTAATAAAAAAAAGAGAAAAAGTATAACCATTAAAATACGTCCTATACTCTATTGCTCTACGCTGTTATAACTTCCACCCTTAAACTTACCTTATAGTACATCATCTTGTTTCGTTTTCATGGACCACTGTAGCCTAAGGAGGGATGAGATAGATGAGGTTATACCAAGCTGGTTAGTAACATGAAAGAGGTTGAAGGAATGGCTGGTGAAGTGAACTCAGTCTCATGGCAGAAGTGAAAGAAAGTAAAGTTGCTCAAGTGACGGCGCTCAGGCGACGGTGTTAGTATGAAGGACTTCAAGGAAGACACATTCAGCACGAAGATGTGACAATCTGATGAGGCCGTTCAAGTAAAAAAGCTCAAAGTATAAGTTGGAAATGCACAGCAAACGTAAAAAAAGTGGGTAGAAGAGAAAAAGGTGACGAAATTGAATTGAGCAGAGCGGAATACTAAATAATTAAAAAGAGCCGCAAAAAGATACACGTAGAAGAACCTTTTGAAGAAACACGTCTTTCATATAGAAAAAACTGCTTTACTCATTTCTTATATGTCCAGAGCGCAAGGCCATGACGAACTTTTTCATCTAATGTTCGATCGTTAAGTTCTATTGTAGGTCGTTCACGGGAGGATGTGTGGCCAGGTTCGCGGATTTTGTCTATCTCATGTAGAAAGTGTGTTGCCTATAAAGCTGATTTAGACTATGCTGCATATATTAAGATGAATAGAGTACGAGTGATCTCATGCTAGTCCTTACATTA